AAATAGTGTATAGACTGTCCATTTTCAAGATTTTATGGTGTTTATAGATCTACTTGATTTGAACTATTTTTAAGTTTAAGATTTTATAATAGGGTGCGGTTTGTATAGAGCCTAGGCTCTATACAATCAAATTAGAGCCTGCCTTCAAATAGTGTCGAGAAATATGATTTTAATATTGAAAATCTTTGTGAAATCCTTAAAATATATTTTATATTCATTTATAAAGTTTAAAGCTTAAAAAATAGTGTAGATCGATAGATCTATGAAAACTTGAAAATTTTGAAAATTGATGGTCCAAAAATACATTGCAAAATACACTATTTCCAAAACTTGAAATCCATTTTTTTCTCATATCTATGCATTTTTATGTTGAGATGATCAATTTGAAGATATTTGAGAATGAAAACAACCTCTTCTAGTGAAATTTATGAAGTAGGCTCAAATTTGATTGTTTAGAGCCTCGATTCTATATAAACTTTTCCCTTTATAATAAGATATGAAAATAGATTCTCAAGCCATTCTAATATCTTTTTACACTAAAATTATATTTATGATAAAATTTGGAGGTGCGTGCCTTAACTTGTTTAAGGTTGCAACCTTATACATACTCCCTACCCTAAACAATATGGCTGCTCTCCTTTCGATACTGACCCTATATCCACTTCATTATCTTTATATTTAACAAACAATTTTATCGACTCGGCAAAACTATTTACATATGCGTATTGCAATACAAATTTGTTTGTCATAAGGGCTAATGGTTATTTCTTAGATATATTCTCTTTGGCTATATTAATGTCCATGGAGTTTGAAGGAGATATTTTGATACTCCCTTTGAAATTGACTTCATTAACGAGTCCCTGAACCCGTTACACTAGCCTAGTGAACCATAAGACACACTAACCTGTAGTCCACACTAACCATAGTCTAGCCCAAATACTCCCAAATATTCTCAAATAACTCATTTTAGGAGACTATCAAGCTAAAATATGCAAGTCCTCAGTCCAAGAGGAAGAAAATTAAAATCATCTGACCCCAAACTTCAAAGGAAAAAGTTTAAGGTGTAAACCTTATACTGTACGGGTGAGGCGCACCGAATAAACCTACTAAAGAAGGTTGTTCTAATATTAGAAAACACTTAAATCAATCATCTTGAGCTCAAGATTCATAGATATGAAAAAAGGGGATTTCTAGTCCTAAAAATAGTTCATCTTTTAATACATCATCTGGACCGTCCATTTTCAAGATTTTCAAGTGTTTATATATCTATTTGATCATCACCATTTCTTGGACCTTGAATTTCATAATTGGCAATAATAATAGATTTTTCATATCATCACAAGGATTTATGACACCAAAACAACATTTTCTGTATAGTTTTGAAGTGCACCTTTTACTATAGTATAAGGTTGACACCTTATACAAACCTCACCCAACTTCGAAACGTGCTGGACCCCATCAAAATGGAGGGCATGGAGATTTGCATGTAAACTGAGGCAAAAGTTACCAACGGCACGGTGTGTGTCGCTGCAAAAGCACGATGCGTGTCGTTGCAGTGACACATACTACGCCACCACCCATCCGATAGGCCAGATTTGATTGGTAAGTCATAGGGTGATTTGGTGCCCCCGCCTACATATATACAACTTCTGGTGTCGTCCAAGGTCTCCAGAAACCCTGGAATTCAGAAGCCCATATAAAACCCTAGGATCTTAGTTTGCAGCCTCCCAACTTTAGATACCCTAGATGCCTTAAACCCTAATCACTATGCAAACTTCGGAATCCTAGGAGATGAACACCCTTCTTAGATCAACGAACGCCTTAGAAGCAAATTCTTAAGCAAACTTCCTTGTAGTTCAAGATAACTCTGGATCGGTAAAAGTCGAAGATCAAGGAGAAAGATTTGCATCTTTGTATGGTATGGCTCCAACCCCAAGTGCCAAGCCTAGAGGCTCGGCTTCCCAGATACTTCTCTTATTTCCATCTATATATTATTATTATTATTATTATTTGTTCTTGCTTTTTTAAAAAAATCTTCCAAAACTCTTTTCTCTATTTTCTCTTCATTTTTCAAAGGCTTCTTTCGGTTTAATGCAAATTTAAGTAGCTTGGCCAACTGTGAGGAAATGGTTTTTCGAGACTCTCTCGTTATATACTGCCATTCGACAAAACGCCTATCTCTATTTGATTACAAGTTTGGACACAAGTCAAAGATGGGATTGCTCTTGATTGCTTGATTTCATCTTAGACTCGCATGTAAATAATTTGGGGCCCACCATGGGGTCCATCAATCTTATATTCGTGTAAAATCGGCCAAGGACAACCCTGAATTTTTGACCTCATGGTTGTTTCTAGTGCAATTGTGATGAAGGAAGATTCTTGGGAGAGGTTCAGAGCGACGGAGGGAGACATGCTTTAGCGGGGCGATCCGCCTCTCTATAACCAATCGCCCGGATGTTGTTTTGTGCATCAATACTCTCTTTTGCCTCATTCTAATGCAGTCAACAGATCAAGCCCGAGATGTCGGAACCCATGGTGGAATCCTGGGCTCAGTCTGGGCCCTGTGAACCCACAAACTGACCATCGTGAGCACACGTAGGCCCCGAGAGTTGCCAGTGGGACCTACGCCATCCAGCTCCTAGTTTTCCTTTTCTTCCTACTATATTTTAACTGAAAATTGAAAAAGAGGGAAAATAGAAAATAGAAAATAGAAAAGAAAATCTAGAAGGAAATAAAACATGAGAAAAGTTTATATAAGGTTGCAACCTTAAATGTAGAATTACAGATGCACCTCAAAAAGATATCATAAAAGTTGTTTTAATGTTGAAAAACCCTCTATTTGATCGTATGAATATAAAAAATAAAAATAAAAATTGAATCTTAAAAATAATGCATCTTGCAACACATTATCTAGTAGATGTATGAATATAAAAAAAAAAAATTTGAGTCTAAAAAATAGTGCATCTTACAATACATTATCTAGACCGTCCATTTTCAAAATTTTCATATGTTTGTAGATCTCCTTGATTTTAATTATTTTAGAGTTTAAAATCTTCTAATTAGATATGAAAATAGATTTTAAAATAATCCTAAAAAAAAATTATAACAAAATTATATGTTAGAATAAAATTTGGAGGCCCACCTTAATTGGATTGTTTAAGGAAAAGGTTTATATAAGGATACTACCTTACAATGTAGAACTACGGATGCCCCTCAAAAATCCATCGGAAAAGATAGTTTTAATGTTGAAAAGCACTTGGATTGATCATCTCGACATCGAGATGTATTACTATGAAAAATAAAAAAAATTTAATTCTCAGAAATGGTGCATTTACCGCATATT